GAAGGCCAAGTGTGGTGGCACATGCCTTTAATCCCAGCACTTGGGAGGCAGAGGCAGGCAGATCTGTGTGAGTTTGAGTTCAAGGCCAGCCTGGTCTACATAGTGTGTTCCAGGCTGGCTGGGACTACAGGGAGACTCTGTCTCAAATAAAAACCAAAAAGAAAACAGAAAAAAAAAAAAAGATTAAAAACAGAAAGGAGAGAGAGAAAGAGAGAGGGGGAGAGAGAGAGAGAGAGAGAGAGAGAGAGAAAGACTAAGGTTGCTTTTGAGAGAGAGAGAGAGAGAGAGAGAGAGAGAGAAAGGAAGGAAGAAAGATAAAGATTCTTGGGGTGGTTTAGATGAGAATGTGCTCAATTGGCTTTAAGTATTTGAATACATGGTCCCAGTTGGTGACACTGTTTATGGAGGTTTACTTCCTAGTTGGAGCAAGCAGGGCACTGAGTGTGGGCTTTGGAGTTCAGAGTCCTGCCCTACTCCTAGTCTCTCTTCACTTCCTGTGCCTGCTTAAACATGGGAGTGTGCCCTTGCTTCTCTGGCTGCCTCCTGCCATGCCTCCCTGATGAATTCTTAACTTTCTGGAACCATAAGCCAAATAAACTCTTCTTTCTCTAAGTTTCCTTGGTCTTGGTGTTTTATTACAGCAACAGAAAAGTAACTAATCCAACCCTAAAATAACAACTGCTCCAAGAATTAGAGATCGTATTTGAAAAATTACTATGAACCGTTCATCCGCTCTCTTCCAAAAACAGGCCGTTTCACCGGGAGAAGACAGGTAGAAGCAGAGATTGCAAGCAGTCATTTCTGGGATAGAATATGTGCACATGGGGTGTGTAGATAGGTTTAAATGAAACTCTAAGATCTAATGAATGTTGCAACAGATTCTAACATTTAACTATTTCACACTATACTATAAAGAAAGTTCAAATCATACTATAGTACTCAATAGAGAAATATCTAACCTCAAATACCGACATTTAAAATTTGCAATTAAATCTGAAATTCTGAAACAGTATATTCAAGGAGCTCTTATGTTTAAGAAAATGGCATAATTACAAAACTGATACTGTAAAATTTTAAACGAAAACAATAAAATTTTAGAGAAAACAATATTCATAAACGAATAAGTATCAGCAAAAAATACCAACAAAACTTGATACTTAAGTGTTTAAAGAGTGCCAGGTTTTGTGCTGTACACATATAATCCCAGCACTTGAAAGAAAGCAGAAGCACAGTGTTGCCCCAAGTTCTAGGCCAGTGAGGGCTACATAAGACAGTGTCTTGAAAAGAAAAAAGAAAACAAAAACAAAAACACAACAACAACAACAAAAAAAACTAAAACAAAAAACACCACACAAGTGAGAATAAACTTGATGGAGTAGGTGGCTATCCTGTCTATAAACGTGACTTTATAAAGCCAATACCTGATGGGCTGCATCAGGTCAACCTGGAAGAGTAATGGGCGGACTCCTATGACTGGGCTGCATCTATGAGAGCTCGATAAAAGCATCCCAGACAAGAGGAGTTTCTTGTGTAAAATAAAACTGCATTTCATTTTAAAATTATGTTTTGTTGTTGTTGGTTGTTTTTTTATGACAGGGTTTCCCTAGTCCTAGACCACCTAGAACTCACTATGTAGTCCAGGCTGGCCTCCATCTCACAGAGATCTGCCTGCCTCTGCCTCCTGAGGGCTGGGATTAAAGGCATATGCCACCATGTCCACCATTCATTTTTAAATTATGGATATACTTTCTAGTAATGAAAAATGACCTGCTGCCTCTTCTGCTGACAGAGGCTCAGGATGTCTCTCTGGGGGTATAACTACATACATTCATACCTGCCCCTCTATAAACCCTCCTCAAGAGGAACTCCTAAGGGAAATCATCATAAGGCTATCAAAATTTCAGTAACAAAATAAAAATAGGAGCATCTGTCTCCCATATGCCGTTCATGTTCTGAACACTCACATGCAATAACCCTTCAGTCTGTATACACATTGCAGTGCTGAAATCTGGATGGGCAGATACAGCCAACTTTGCTGTTTCTTTAGGTCTTACTACTTTTGACTGTGTTTGTTTTCACATTTGTCTGAGCCTGTACCTCCCATGCCAGAGAGTGTAAGCAGTCTGTTCTTCCTCCTAGGTCTCAGCCGGCTTACAGCACTCACTGTAATTAAACAGTGTACACCTGAACATCTGAGGCAAAGGAGTGGTTCACACTATCTTTTGAGAGTCCACTATCCACATCTTCCCAGCTACACATTCAGGACACAACACTGGTAACTTGAAATTGGCCATGAAGGGAGTATTTGACACTCCAGAATTGGCAAATTTGGGCCTTTTTTAAAAATCAAAATTCAGTCCTAAATATTTACTCAGATATCACTGATCTGAAGAAATAAGCAGTCCATTAACTCTGTCAGGCCCTATTCGCTCAGGTAGAACAAGCATAGATTCCTTAACTGAGTGAGCCCAGCTATCATTTACACTTTACACACCCAGAGTTCTCAGGAAGTGGCAACTCATTCTCATAGGCCCAGAAGATTTTCTCCTTATTTCCACAACAGAATCCATTTTTTCATGTGTATATGTGTGGTATGTTTCCATGTATGGGCACACGTGTACACACATGTGACTGTGGTGGTCCAAGGCTAGTATCAGGAGCCCTTTGGTCACTCTTCACCTTATTCATTGAGACAAGGCCTCTCAATTGAACCTAGAACCTCCTGATATGGCTGGTCTAGCTAGCCAAGCCTCTCAACTGAACCCAGAGCTTGCTGATATGGCTGGTCTAGTAGTCAGCATTTGCAGGGGCTCCTGTCTCCACCTTCCAAATGCTAGGATTACAGGCAGGCCGCCACACCCACTCAGCATTTTGTGTGCTCTGGGGATCCAAACTCTGGTCCTCAGGCTCGCTACTTGGAGGCCAGAGCTTCAGCCACTGAGCCACCTCCCCAGCCCCTAATTCATTTTTCATCATAAACTTTTCCCCCAGGTGTACTTCTGGTGTGTGTGCAAGTGTGCAAGCATGTATGTAAGCCAGAGACTGACATCAGGCACCATACTCACTTTCCACCTAATATGCTGAGGCAGAATTTCTTGCTTGAATCCAGACTCCACCTATTCCGCTAGTCTAGCTAATTAACGTGCTCCAAGGATTCCTGTCTCTGCCTCCCATGGGCTGGGACCTGGGAAGTCCATCATACCATCCCAGAATTTACGTGGCTTCTGGAGCCCTGACCTCTAGTCCTCACACTTGTGTGGCAAGAGCCTTATCCACTGAGTCATCTGCCCAGTCTCACAAAGTTTGTAATCATTGAAATTCATCCTTAGATGTCACTGATTGCTAGATTCATCATTTTATGTACTGTTAAGGAAAAGACACTACCAATTAAATTGATATATCATCAGCTATAAGATACTTGATAGCATAAATATTGAAATCTAAAAACTGCATAGTAAATATGGATATGAAAAAAATCACTTCTCTCTTGCTGATTGTTGTTTTCTCACCTCAGAATCTTAGTGTTGGTCCTTTAATCCTGATACTCTACTCCTAAATCTGATCCCTCAGGGCCTTCCCAAATGTATATTTAAATTCATAAACATCTTCACCCATACAGACTATAAACAGAATGTGTCCTGCTTATATAAATAGGAAATAATAACCCTGAAGAAATATAAAATAGTCAAAGAAAATATACAGCACCAGAATCCTGTGGGGTAGAGGAAAGGACCACAAAAAGGCAGAATGGGGACGTGTCCTTGAGAAGAGTGACAAGACGCTGGACTAGAGAAGAGGGAAGGAAGGTCACAGGCAAGAGGGCCTGGACAGCATATGACAAAAATCCATTCTGTGGTGTGGAGTGGTACTATCAGAATAACCATTTCTATCTTCCTTACAATTGTCCTTGCTTTGAGGAGGCATGATTGTGACCTAACATAACAAATAAGTAGTTTTGAGGAGTTCAGAGTTTTTGTCTAATAGCATTACCATAAGAAATAATATATTGTCATTAAAAAAAAAATTACCTGGTGAATGCAGAGACCCAAGGCTACACACAAGGTGCTGAGAATAAATGGCAGTTCAGTGTTTAGTCCTAAAAAGACATCTATACCACCCCTTCTAAGGCTCAGGGAACATTCTGGAAGAGTAGGGAGAAAGAATGTAAAAGTCACAAGATAGGGAGAAAAGCTAAGAAATGCCATCTTCTGGGTAGACACAGTTCTTTATAGCCAGGAACTCCCAGCAGCTGTGAGTACCTGCACTGGGCCTGCACAAGAATGGGTCCAGCAGCAGTCAGGCACAGATAGAAGAGGGGCTTAGGGGGTCCTATCCCTCGCTGCTGAACTATTTCCTACTGGCAGATTGAGGGAGAAGAGGGGGCAATGCCTTCAGTTGTGTATCTACTGATGATCCCATCAAACTCCAGTGGATAGTTCCAATCCAACGGTCACACAGATGGCCCTGGTTAAACTAAATCTTTACACGACAAAAACAAAAGTCATGAATCTGAGAAAGAGACTGGCAGAGAGGAGGAGGTGTTGATAGAGATGGGAAGGAGATAAGACAGTAAGCAAGAGAGTAATCAAAATGCATCATGTCTATGTATGAAATTGTCAAAGAACAAACAAAGTTAAAAAAAAAAACTTTGAGTACATCAACCTTTATGAACACTTGGCATGTATGTGTATGTATATTCGTGTATATGTATGTGTATAGAGGTAATTGTGCACATGAAGTCAATGTTGGGTGTTGTTCTTTACATATTGCTCTTCTTTTCTGTGACAGGGTCTCTCAGCGGCCTGGAGTGCCCCAGTTAGTGAGCCTTAGAGATCTACCTGTCTCTGCCTCCCCACCACTGTGATTACAAGTGTTAGGTACCACATGTGTCTTTTTATGGGCTTCTAGGGATCAAATCCAGGTCTTCAGCACTTTACCAAATGAGCCATCTTGCCAGCCCTATGGAAATTTTAAAACCACTAGGAAATGATTCTACTTACTCGCCATCCACTTCTGGTCTTTTACATACACAGTGAAACTTGCTGCCAAAATCTATGTAGAGATCATCCTGCACAACATGAAAGATCCGTCCAATGACCAGTTTGTCCTTAGCAGGCCCCATCTGTGTCAGTGGAGAGTGTCTCAGCATGGAAGCAAAGGATTCCACATTTTTTGGAGACTCCTAAAGATGAAAAGAAATGTTTATATTCACGAAACTCATTCGAAACGATGGTAAGTGCAACAGAGACTTTGAGAGGAAACTTAAAAAATATATATTATTTATTATATTTATGTGTATGCGTGTATTGCCTGCATGTAGCTAAGTGCACCTTTGTCGTGCAATGCCCGCAGAAGACAGAAGAGGCTGTTGGATCCCCTGGAACTGGTGTTTTGGACAGTTGTGAGCTGCCATGTGGGTGCTCAGATTTGAATGTGGGTCTTCTGCAAGCACAGCCAGTGTTCTTAACCGCTGAGCCATTTCTCCAGCCCCAAGGGGAAACTTTTAAAACTAGCTTTCTGCACATTTACATTTTGTTGCATTAATATCAGAATTAAAGTGGAATTTTGCTTTAAAGCCAGTTACTTCCTTTCACTTCCTTTTCCTCCCTTGCCTTCTCCAAGAGACCAGAGGAGTCTCAAAAGCCCACGCGGGTGAGGAAGGCAGGAGAGTTGGCAAGTACACAACACTTCCCTGAACATGGGTGACACCGTCAGAGCGTGGGCTTCTCCTGAGAAGCACATCCAAGGAGATCAGCGACTTCACACCCAACACTCACCATCTGCAAAACTGCCTTCCCATTCCAGCGCAGTGAGAGCAACTTCACCTAATATACATGTGACTGCATATTCCAAGAGAAGCACTAAAGGCCTGCTAGCACAATGATCGGCCTGCACATCAGTTCTTATTATAGAATAATTTTAAACTAACTAAATTTGTTTTCATATCCCTCTTTTTTCCTTGCATAAAATTCCAAAGGAAAACTGACTCACCATTTTGTGCTGCCCACTTTCTAGGAGTCTTTTTACAGAAGGACTTTGCTTGAAAGTAGGGTTGGACACAGGATGCAGTAAAAGTACTCTTCTTCTTAATTTTTTTTTCTAAACCCATGCTTTTTCAGAAATGTGTGAATACAGATTTTTGGTTTCTAGTCATCTTTAACTTGTATATGGGGTGGTACAGGTATACTTGGTGCAAACTAAGTACAACATTTCTATTTGTGAGAACAAATCACAGAATATTAATAATTTGATATGAGTGCCTACATCCTGAATTTTAAATTATCTTTCATATTACTCAAGGATTATTAATCATTCAATGGGACATTTGTGTTTTAAACTATACGACTACATTTGTCACAAAACTTTAATGTCTGTGTTACTGAAACTTACAAACTACAATGCCAGACCCTGTGAGGGCTGGGCACCCAGGAGAACATGCCAGTCTGGAGGGAGGCTGCTCCTAACACTCAGCTCTTTGAAATGCTTACATCTTGAAAAAGAAAAATAAATAAATAAATGCCCCATTTTACAAGTGAGACAAAAAATTGAATGTGGCTCATGGGCCACAAGTTTACGAGCTCTGCTTCAGGAAAAAAAGCACAACAAAGCTGGCTGATGCTGAGCTTCTCAGGTGCTAGAGGGAGAATATGGTAAATTTATTTCAGTAGAAAGTGACATACTGGAAAGGTCTCCTTAGTACAGAAGAGTCAATATAAACCAAAGACATCAGTGGACCAAGATGCCAGGGTGACCAGGAACACATCCCATGAGCTATGACACTGGTTTATAATTCCACAGAGTATAATATTAAAGCTCCTTAAACAAATATCTTAAAAGACAGTTTTTCTTACTTCTAGAAAAACAAGGGGGATAAAAGCACATCCTAGAGGCCCAGCACTGGCGCAGCTCTGAATTGCCCTCTAGAGGCAATGTAGTATCAAAACCAAGTAAGGCACGGGAAACATGAGCAGCCACTGCCTCTCTAACCATCCCCAGCAGCCACCACCAGAGCAGCTGGAGCAGACAGATATGAGTGTGGCATCTCACAGCATTTGCAGCCCCCATAATCCACTTCTGTGCGTCCACCTACCAGGCTTCCTCTATTTTTATTAATTTTCTTTCAGCTGACTCATTGGAGCCACAGTTCAATTAAAACAAGAACATTCAGAAGTTAAGCATCTACTAAAGATAACTCATGAATCAATAGGCCTCTTCCTACAATGCCACAATCTCCTTCGTGACTGTGAAAAGATGCTTGGGGTAAGATTGGTGTGACAGTTAGTGGTGCTTCTCCCTCCAGCTTGGGAAGTAGTATTCTTTAAAGAAGATTCCCCTGGCCTGTGTGACCCAAGCCTGATAACCTGAATTTGATCCCTTAAGCCTACTCGATAGAAGGAGAGAACAAATTCCAACAAGTTAGCCTCTGACCTCCACATCTGCATGTACTTGCACATCACACACACACACACACACACACACACACACACACACACACACACACAGTTAAAGCCAGGTGTGGTGGCACATGCCTTTAATCTCAGCATTCGGAATGCAGAGGCAGGGAGATCTCTGTGAGTTCAAAGACAGCCTTGTCTATATAGTGAGTTTCAGGCCATCTGGGGCTACAAAAAGACCAAAAAAAAAAAAGTTCTATAAAGGTTCCCTTAAGATGTTTTTAGTAAATCTGTTAAGAAATATTTATTATATACTTTATAAAACTGTAATTATTTTTAAAATCAAGTAGAAAAAATGTTAATGCTTTATGTTCTGTTATTTTTGCCTCCATCACATTTTACTATGGAGTCAAATGTGTTTCAGTGAATGAGAAAGGATTTCCCACAAGCTTAAGACTCCTGGACTAACACATAAATTTGTTCCTAAATTGCATATTCATTATATATTTTAGATAATCAGGTAAAAATCTCATAATCTAGAATCATCTCTCAATTCCTAGGGCATAAGCCAAGCTATACTCATTTACTTGTCAAGTGACTTCTAAAAATATCAAATGTAGCAATTTCCACAATACATTCTGACAATAGGGAGTCTTGTTTAGTGTCTAAACCAAAACTGTTAGCTCTGTGGTTGCTGATGCAGCCCCCAAGACTAGCGGGGTCTGCCTCACAGAGCTCGGTGTCCAGTGATAGACAGCATCACCACAAAGCTCATCCACAGAGCTGTGAGAGGGAATGCAGGGACCCTGGAATGGACTGCTTTCTTGAAGAGGTGGTTATAGAGCTGGGCATGATGACTCAGGCCTGGAATCTCAGCACTACGGAGTTGGAGGCAAGAGGAATGTCATGAGTTCGATGCCCGTCTGGGCATCTTACTGAGTTCCAGGCTAGCCTAGACTATAGAGTGAGACTCTGTGCTAGGAAAAAAAAAGGGGGGGGGGTAAAAGGAATTGATTAGAGTTCAGATTTCCTATTCTGTTTTATTTTCTTCCTTTGCAGACTGAAAACTGGAGAGGGCTATCTAGATAAAAAGGAGGTAGGTAAAGGGATTACAGATACCGGGAATAGGACAGGTTTCATTCATTCATTCCTCAAATACATACTGTGTGTTGAATGCTCTTGTGGTCTGAATATTCCCCAAAGGCTCAAGTGTTTGGACACTTGGTCCCTGCAAGAGGTACTGCTTTGGAAGGTTGTGGAACCTCTAGGAAGTCGAGCCTTGCTGGAGGAAGTGGGTCATTGGAGGAAGGCATCGGATGTTTTCTAGCCCAGCCCCACTTCCTGTAGGCTCTCTGCTTCCATTCTGCCTCCATGCCATCCACCCCATCATGGACTGTATCCCTCAAATTGTGAGCCAGTATAAGCACTTCCTTAATGGCTTCTTGTCTTGAATTTGGTCACAGCAACCAAAACAGTAATAAGTACCTTAACATGTATTATGTGAAACAGTAAAGGAACTGAGAGTTAAACCAACATGCCAACAGAGCTCAGGTTCCAAAAAGCTGCTGAAAGTATTAGGTACTCACACTTGAGTGAGAAAAGTCTTGTACCCCAGGCTCAGTGGCTTAAACTCTGTAAGGAGTTGGGAATCAAGAGGATTCCAATGAATGGAGTGATAGCACCAGTTCATTGAAAAAAAAGCTTTGTCAGCAGTATGCAAGACACACGAGAAGGAGACAGAAAATAGGAGGGTCAGCTGTTAGGAAGCTCCCCCAATAGGCAGGAGGCAGACAAGACAGGGCTTATTCTGAAGAAAGGATGCTGAGATATTTACCCAGTAGTAGTACAGCACTCTAGAACTCAGGGAAAGGGGGAATCACAGAAAAGGGGGAAGACAGTGCAGTACAAGGAACAAGTTTAACTTTGCACGTAAGTCCTTAATTAAACCATTATGTTTCTATGAGAATAGAAAACTGTGTATATGGTAAAAAACAACGACAACAACAACAACAAAAACACCACTGGAATTCATAGCATGATAATCTCAAATCTGAGGCAAGGTGTTTTTAGGTGACATTCACTGGCATTTGTTGCATGGTAAAACACCATGCAGACTGCACACCATGCAATGCATGCTGTGTATTAAAAACCCAAGGCTATGGTGAGGTTGCACAATGCAGTACAGATAAGCACTGCCACCAAGTACCTCAAACTTACTATGCTTATTTTTAATTGACTTTTTCATAAAGGACATTCACATTACATTCAGAAATCTCTTATTACTGCTAAAATTTTCACAACCCCCAAATTCAGTTGTGTGACCCCAACTCACATTCAGTTACTTAACCAGATATGACGACAAACCCACAGCATAAGGAGCTGGTCCTAACTGACCTGAAGGAAGGGAAGTGGCCAAGTCCAGCAGGCTGCAGCCATCTTGTCCCATGGAAAGGGAAGAACCCAAGAAGCACATGTGAGGTTTCCAGCAGACGCAAAGGCTTACTACAAGACTGAGACTCACCACAGGACAAGAAATGCTGTCCCTCCCATCACCTTACTTAATGCTTACTTAACACATAAAGCAGTTAATCTAGCCAGTACATCATACCCACCTATCAAGAAAATCACAAGGCATACTAAAGGCAAGAGAACAGTCAAAAGAGAAAGAACCATCAGAAACAGGTTCCAATATGGCAGGGATGTTGGAATTGCCAGGTAGGAAAGCCAAAACAAAGATGCTAATGAGCTCCAATGGGCACAGTAGACAACGTGGAGAACAAATGCAAAA